CTTTTTAATGGTAAGTTTTTTTATAGCTTCTAGTACTAAACTAGGTAATAAAGTAATAGTAACACTTCAAAAATCTCAATCTCGAATATCCGTAGTACTCAGGAAAAAAGCAAGATTTTGACAAAATGGTGAATGGGCCGCGAAAAATGTTCTGCCTGCGGTGCCGTGCTTACTGAACTGCTGTATTTTTATACAATCGCTACCCCTTCCAAAAATGTCACCGCACGCCACTGACTACCTAGAAAAAATCAATGTACTACAAAAATTGATAAATTTCATAGTGACCAGCTCTTTAGTATTAGTCAAATTCTCGATTTGAGACAACTTTATTATCAAAGAATACTTTTAACTATCTACAAAAATAAAATAGAACTCATAGAAATCGAGCATCATTACAACAGACGTAGGCGAGATCAAAACGTAAAAATTCCCAAATGTGAAAAGAGCATAAAACAACGTAGTATTGTTTATATAGGCCCCAAATTATTTAAGTTTATACCATCAGAACTTAAAAATGTAAATAAATTAAATCAATTTAAAATTATGCTTAAAAAATGGATTATTAGTACTGATAGGAAAATTTTTAGCAATATAGTAAATAATAATTCAAAAATATGTACTTAACCCATACCGTCCGTTTATTTTACCTTTTTTTTTAATTTTATTTTGTTGTCTATTTTATATACTTAGATGTACATAAGATATTAATTAGATATGTTTAAGAGATTTTTTGTAACAGTAGATTTATGTAAATTAGGAATTAGAAATTAGGAATGTACTAAAATAAGCCACAAATATATCACAAACAAGCTCTATATTTAGAGCTTCTGTGATTAGTCATGTTTATTTTACCATTGTTTAAATCCTCTTTTGAGCCTGGAAATATTTGTCAATTTTTTTCTAATCCGGGTCTGAATTTTTTTCTATTCAAATCCCTTAGATATCTTAAAGGAAGTTCCTATGTTCAAAATAAGAAAAATCTACTAGGAGGTTTGTAAATTATCAAAAAATATGTGAACAAAATTAATAAAATAATTTGTACTTCACTCACGAAGACCAAACTGTTCTCTTCCAGAGGTTAACGTATGGATATTTCGCAATGAATTACCATATTTGCTCTTATCCCCTCCCTAAACTCGTTTGATACTTCTAATGAATCCACAAAGTAAAAAATTGCTTTTCTTATTGACACCAAAAAGAATTAGTGCTTGATACTTTTAAAAAATGTTCGGTTCCTTCTTTTTACTCTTTTTATAGTTATTATAGCTGAAAAACACCCCGCTTAAATGCTATAGCGACTCTTGTGGAAATAACTGAATCTGGTGCCTTTTAAAAATAAAGATGAACCTCTTCAACGTTCTACTAAAAAAATTGTTACTATTTTGGTATTCCAAACTCTAAAGTGGCCAAGATGTAAAATAAAACTCAAAGCCAAGTGTCTCTCTTGAAAACCACTAGTCCTTTGGCTCACTAGGTATCGAATTAAACCGTAAGAAAAAAGCAGAGAGAAAATATTTCCAACACTCTACTTTTGATTTTGCTTACTAAGGAGAAAGCCATTTTTGGACTAGTTTTGTCCTTATCAGGACTCGTCAGTTTCGACTGGAGTCTACCAGATGGAATAGTTTCACTCACCTACATGGGTGTCGGTTGATAGAAGGTAGGTAGTCACTGAGTAAAAATGGTAACACCATATACAATTAGTTTGCAGTACAAAATGATTTTTTTGAAACTTGTAACCTGTATTTCGGCAACTAAACCCTTTAAGGGTTCATTTTTCTATATGAAAATTCATCAATTACCAAGAGCTTTCTGGGGTACAGCGTTGTCGGACGCATAAAGTAACATGCTGTAGAAGGGGTAATAAAAAGGGTAATAGAAAACAAGTTTTAAGCAGATCTTCATTATCAGCAAGAATATTAGTAAATATAATGCAAAACACCATTTTACATTATACGACTAAAACGATTTGCGACAATAAAATTTGCATAAATAAAACATACAAGGAAAATTTCGAACTATAAAGTGGCCCTTACTTTGTAGAGGGACCTTGAACCAGCAGAATTATTTACGGAAACGTTAACGAGTAATTTACCAGAAATAAATAATATACGAACTTAGCAAGGAGAAACCCTATATAGGATATGTTCTGGGTGAAATTTAATATGCTTAATGAATGAAAGTAGGTTATATTTCAGAAATTAAATATACAAAGACTGGAAAAAATTACTTCTATAACGGCTTAACCATTTTCGATACTGAAGTATTCCATAATTATAATCATATAATGATACAATGAATGGTAGGTATCGGATTCGCATAAGCTAATGCACGAAACGTGTTGTCAAAAATAAATTTCACTGTTCTGAAGGACGATAGAAATTCATTTGATAGCACGCTGAGTGTGATTATGCATAGAATCTATATCAAAAGTTGTATATAATAGAAATAGATATCATCACGAATTAATCAAATATGACAGCTCAATAATTTACAAAAGCAATGGCAAAACATGACAAGCTTACCTACTAGATTTTCCAGCATTAATGTACCAAGCATAATTATGTTAGTCAAGTATGGTGTATAATTATACTTCAGCTAAATGTAGAGGAAATTATTACATTGTGAGTGATATTATCAAGTATAATATACCAAGACCTTGCTAATAGTCAGCTATTTTTGTTGAATCTAAATCTCGAGAATATTTTAATACCAATTTGATGAGTCATAATTTTTGGCGTTAATAATCTGATTAGAGCTCGAGGGCTTTAATCAATTGATTATTAATGTCAAAATTATGTAAAATAATTATTGAATAGTGGCAAAGAAAGTTTAACGTAAAATGTAGAATACCTTAAAAATTATTTACCTATTAGGCACCTATACATATTTTTTAATATTCTATTTAGGTTTCCGCAAGATCCTGAGAAAAGAAAACTCTAGTTTTCTCTAGTAGGGACAGGGCCGCCGGGAGTCAGAGCGGGCCCCAGGACAATTCTCTAGATCGGGCCCCGTGACAAATAAAAAATATTCTCTCCTCTTACTTAAATTTGTCTACAAAAAAACTCTTTAAACAAAAACTTTTCCTCCTCTGCTTGAATTACCTACATTTTCTAAAAAAAAATCCAAGCAAAAAGTTTTTCCTCCCCTACTTGAATTGAATTTTCTAAAAACAAAAAAAAAACTTCAAACAAAAACTTTTCCTCCTCTGCTTGAATTACATTTTCTAAAAAAAAAAATCTTCAAGCAAAAAGTTTTTCCTTCCCTACTTGAATTGAATTTCAAAAAACAAAAAAAGGTCCCCAACCAAAAACCTCCCTCTTGTCTTGTGCCGAACTTCTGAAAGAAAACAAAAATCCTCGCCGCGGTTGCCGGGCTGCCATTTGAGTCCGGGCTAAGGGATTTACTCCCGACTGTTCCCCCCTCTAGTCTGCCCTGAGTAGGGATCCTTAAAAATGAACCTTTTCGTAAAAACCCAGTGTTGTGTTCAGAACTTGAATTCTCTTGTATTTGAATTTACTTGTACTTGAATTTACCTACATGAAAAAATCATCATAATTATATTACTAAAAAAATATACCTACTTATTTACGTATTTTTTTAACATACTACTCTGACAATACTGGTAAGTTTAAAACTCTACGCCACTGGCGAGCATATTATGGACACTGTTTACAACGTTGCCAGCCGGTCCTAAGAGATCTGTCTTTCTCTCTTCCTCTCGCTAACAATTTTAAAACAATAACAGACCGCAATTGTATGGGATTTATGAATTAAACATTTTGTCTCTATGTTGTAATGTCTTTGGTAATCACCAATTTTGGTTTTGCCCAATTATCTCGGAAACCATGTCTGATATTTTTATTTTAACAAGCCAATAATTTCTTCTTGAAAATACACATCTTTTTTTCTATTTAAGCATATTTGTATTTAGTTTTAATAGGTATTTTCTAGTTCTTTAAAAATACGTTGAAAACTATCAGAGAACTAGTTGACCAGTGAACAGTTTAATTTGGAATTCAACTGTTCCACTGGTTCTCGGACGGTTTGCATCAAGTTTTAAAAAGTTTGTTCGTGTTTTTAGTTTTACTTGTGCAGAACCGTTCCAGACATGCGTAGTAGACTAAAAATGTTCTTGTTTTCTGGAACTAAGTTCTGAACAAAGAGTCCTATGTTTGAGTTTTTTAGAACGATTCTTAACTGTTTTAAAGAGTTCTATGTAATTCTAGCCAAAAGTGCGAACTGACAAAAATTGTTCTAGGCACACATGCGCATTGCACCATTACAAAAATAATAATGAGTAAACAATGTTAGAGGTTAGGTATATTATATTGTGAATTTCCTTGAATATAGAATTATAGAAATTTGACTGAGAAAATTAATTTTCTTTATAGTTTATCTTTTTCTTTAAACTAAGAAGAACATATTAACGGTGACTAATCTTTAAAAAACGTAACCAAAGCATACCAATTTTATTTAGTTACAAAAGGGAAAACTCCGTGTTTGTTGTTAGTTTTTTTTTAATGCTAAATAATAATTATTTTTCTCCACAATTTTAACAAAATCAATTGACAGTTGATAATTTAGGTGTTCGTGTTAATATCTAATCCAAAACTGTTCGGAAGAATTCCAAATTTGTGCCACTGAGACTGAGCAACTAGTTCTGCGCAATTTCAGAACAGTGAATAACACGAACAAACCTAAAGAAACCTTATACTGTTTAAGGTATTTTTCGCGGCATAAACCAACATAAACGTTTGTGATAGATTATGTTATTTAGACAACATCTGATTGGTCTAAATAACATAATCTATCATAAACGTTCATGTTGGTTTATTCCGGGAAAAATAACTTTTTGTCAAATTTAAATTGAAATTTTCAATCTTGTATATTATCTCGTCATTATTTTGCTGGTTTCTAGAAATAAAACTCCCTCTCTATATGTAAATTAGCCATATAAATTGAAATTTGAAAATAACCTTACTTGTTTTTATTTTCAGCTCTGGTCGGATCCTTCTCAATGGGCACAGTATTTTTGGTTTCCCCCGTATCGGGAGTACTCACCGATCTAATAGGCATAAGAAAAACCACTTTCTTGGGTGGTGCAATAGCATCTAGTGGAATGTTTCTTTCTTCTTTCTTCACTGGAAACATTGTCATTCTCTGCATAACGTACGGAGTGATGTACGGCCTAGGCGGTGCTTTAGCGTACACGCCATCTCTCGCCATTTTGGGACATTATTTTAAGAAGTATTTGGGTAAAGTGAATGGATTCGTTACAGCAGGAAGTTCCGTGTTCACCATTGTCATGCCGTATTTTATGGACGCCATTATTCATAAATTTGGGGTAAGTCTGTTGATTTTCAAATTAATTTATTGATATGGATAGGCTGCATGGTCTAGAAATTTGCTATCACATTATTTAGTTTTTTTGTTAGTATTCTTGAAAAGAGAAAACATATATCACTCAACCTACTGCATTTAAAAAAATTCAAGATAGCGGCGGTACGCTAAACGCAGACGTCACATAAATTCAACACCATACAATTTCATAATAATTATACATTCATTTGTTTCAAGGAAAATACCTTGTTGCCAGACTTTTTCGCTATCCTATATAGTAACATTTCAATTTCAATAGACTTAAAATTCATTTGTGTTTTAACTAAAGAATGTGGTTGCGAATTTCTAGACTCATCCTTTATTTTTTGTCTTGTAAGTATCAATAATTGTAATTTATACAATCTTTACTCAATTTATTTACTATACTCTTTAGTTTTCACATTTACCGGTTTATACAGTACGTTAACCGACGCATTAAGCAAAATAAGGATACGCTTAATTCTATTTGGACGTGAGAGGAATAAACAGAGTAGCCCTTACAGTGGCAAGGATGGTATATTGTGGTCCGCAGTCGGCGACGTATTATTCTATTTCTATCTATTCAATAGCATTTTGTTTTTATACCGTTCTCCTGGAGTCAGTATTGGAAAGTTAACGTACTATATACTCGTAATAATGGCTTAACCATCTCCATAACTTAATTTATTATATTAAAATGCCTTGCTTTAATTGTTGTCCCACGTTTCACTTATTAAAATTAGTATATTGTTAACTCAATCAAATGACTCCCATGCCGTCATTATGACGTGATTTTTTGGTGTGCGTTACGTCATTTTATGACGTGAAAATAACGTTATGGTAACGTGAGAATGTCACAGCGAAATGACGTCATTCTATATCGTCATTTTGACGAATAGATATCACGTTAAAGTAACGTGTATATCGGGTGTCCTAGGCTAGGCAAATTGACATCATTATCACGAATCTACCTAACGTCAAAGTGTCGTCTATATTGGGTGTCCCAAGGTTGAATGGAATTATTAAAAGTACTAAGCAGATGAAAGTTATTTATTTAATCCAAAAAACACATGAAAAATATATTATAAAAATAAATTACACTGGTAAATAAAAAAGTCATGCGCAAGAAACCAAAAGGAATAAAATGACAAAAGAATATTAGAGGAACTGACACAACATGCCTAAAATTGTAGATTTAATTTTAATTGGGGTGAGCGAGCATGCTTTACGATTTCATCATCTTCAGTATCATCGAATGACAGCTTTCTAGTTGGCACCTGTTTTCTTTTATTAGGTACTTTATCAGCCTTGGAATGTAGATCTGAGGTAACTTTTTTTAATTTGGTACATCACTTATCATTATCATCTAAAATAAAAGAACTATTAAAATACAGACCACTGAAAATTCTTAAAGATAGAAAGTAAATTGTTTATTTAGTTGTAAAATCTGAGGTGATTACTTTACCGGAGATTGAGGTAGTAGCCCCAAAAACTACCTTCTCAGAGGTATACATATAGTCCGAGTTTATAATAAAAGTTATTTAAAAAAAAGATCATATATCCCGTGAGATGATAAAAAGTATCTAAATCAAGTGATCCCCAACAAATCTTTCAGTTTTAAATAAACTATTTAAAAAATACCCTCAAAGAACTCATAATCAAAAAATAAAAGTATAACATTACTCACCAGTCTTATATTATATTTCTTTATAAAGGCGGCCAAAAGACTTGTTTTTATGCAGCGTCAGCCATTTTCTGCTTACCTCACAACCGCCAGACCGTCATCATCCGGTTTTTCAAACTCAACAATGCAATATATCTGTAAAATACCAAATTCGGTTTAATATACTTTATTATTTTGTCACATTCTATTTTTAACTTTTTCTAAAACATCTTATCAAATAAAGTACAATTTACAAATGCACCACTTTCACGTGGTCACGACTGTCACGAGAATCATGACAACAATGACAATTGACAATATTACATTGTCCGAATATTTTTTAATAATTGTACCAGATTTCATAAAAATGTACTAGGACGGTTTCCTCTCTGGTTGCCTTAGGAATATTATCAATTGTTTAGGATTTATTAAGTCTTTACGGTACTTTTACTAGTTTAACTTATATTAATTACACTGGACTTTAGCGTAAAATGTACTGAATTTCGTTTCTAGCGTAAATGTTACCTTTAGGATGTACTAGATCCAGTACAATAATTGTACTGGATTGGCAAAACTCATTGCCATTTGATATTCGAGGATATCGGAATTGGGTTAGCAATACGTTAAAAGAGACAGGCAACAAAATCTTGAATGATTAATGCTAGAAAACGGAACGTTACTAATTATCCATATCAAAACACAAGGCACCGTAATTTTACTAAAAAAAATTACAAACTGCAGCTCGAACAAACTTAATATATACGTTTTTTCAGTTGAAGCAGATTTCCAATTAGGTTCTTTATAATTCAACACTTAAGTATTAAAATATACGAAAAAATAACGTAATTATGACGAATTCTAAGTGACGTCTATTCTATGTCATCAATGTGATGTCAAATACACGTTACTGATTAGGATATTGTATTTTGGATAAATTAATACTAAAAAATTACGTCATAATGACGAGTCTGAATTGACGTCTAATTAACGTTCCAAAAACGACGTCAAAGTAACGTCATTAATTGGGATAGTGACCTTTCTGACGAATAAACCCAAAAAATCACGTCTAAATGACGGCACCTTGCTGCGACTTACAAGTATTTGTAAAATGTCCCACCGGTCATCGTATAAAATTAAGGAGGATTTTTGGCGAAATCACCGAAATCTTATATCTATAATCAATTTTAAGTAATTTTCGAATTACGGGTACGTTATGACCATAGTGGTTTCCCCTCGGGTTTATAATTTTCGTATAACAGTCTCTCAAAATTTCCTGAGTATCCCTGGTATATATTTTAATATTTTACTAATTAAATCGAGTTTTAGACCAATAACTAGTTATTCCAGTTTATACTTCTGTAAAGTAACCTATTTTTAATTATGACACAAGAAAGTCTACATGACTTTAGAAAACAACAAAATTCCATTTAAAAAAATCTTCGCTGATAAATATTTATGTTTAATGATCGGAAGAAAATGATAGACAATAAGGATATTATTCGTCGATGCTTATTTTAATCAATTGTAAATACCTTCCATGACATTATCAAGTTACAAATTCCAGAAAGATAATTCAAATGCTGCAAAGCAAAGATACACTGTTATTTATATACATCTTGAATAATTCGTGTATACTGTTGATTACTGTTGCTAAGTTAAATATTTTTCTATATTGTAAGTAGAATCTAGCGTAAACCACAAAGGTCACAACGTAGGTTCCCGATTTCGGAAATCATCAAAAATGTACATGATCACCCATGATTCTATATGATTTCGCTAAAATTCTCTAATAATAAAAAGAGTCCACGTGTTGTCCGTTCGTTCGTACGTCTGTTTGTATGTCTGTTACGAAATTTGATGGGTTCAATCGAGCCCGTAGGCCCCAAAGCGGACTACATGTACTCCATCGGGGCTCTCCCAGTTCCGGTGCAATAGGCCATCGTGAAGATACAGGGAATCCCACTGAGTCCAGTACCCTTTAATGGTTCCACTATATTTGGCTATCTCTTGCCATGTAGGTCTAACTCCATTTTTGAGCCATTCTCTAATAACCTTCAAGTCATTGTCTTTCTTTTGAGTCTTTCTTAGGCTTTCAATGGTGATTCTGTCTTCGTCATCCTCTTACTTGATAGTGGTCGCCTGTAGACTAACTTCTTCAACCAGCTCCTCTTGTTCTTCAAGCCTTTTACAGTACCGGCATTGTCGTTCTAAACAGGGTCGCCTGGAGAGAATATCTGCGTTGCTATGGAGACGTCCCCTTCGATGCACTATCTCAAAGTTATATTGTTGCAGGTCTTTCTATCCATCTAGCAACTTGTCCCTCAGGTTTTTTTAAATTCATCAGCCACTGCAATGGTCACTTCTAATGATAAAACTTCTGTTAAAAAGGTAAGTATGGAAGTGTTCAAGGGCTTTGACAATAGCTAATAGTTCTTTCCTAATGACGCAATAATTCTTCTCAGATTTTCCCAAGGTCTTCTCCCTCTTGTTCTTGGGATAGCACGGCGCCCACGCCGTGTTGGGATGCATCACAGTCCAAAATGCATATTTTTGCATAATGTCCATAACAAGGACACACTGATCCTTAATTAATATCGGCCACCAGAAATAAGTGTTCTATCAGGGTATTACCAATCTGTACGGTTGCTGATATCTCGCCTAGAACAGGAGTAGTGTGCCCTGTAGCTGTTTCCAGAACTAAGCTTCTTCGAGTTGGTCGTGATTTCCGATGCAGGATCCCTGTTCGAATGAAAGACTTGGTTGCACCAGTATCAAGGACAAAGGTGCCTTTTTGGTTATCGATATACCCCTTGACCAATAGATTTTGTTCATTTTTATTTAAGGTGTAAGTACGAATTTTGGGACCCTCTGACACAGCCGGCGCCTGCCCCGTAGTACCCTGATTATTTCTAGAGAGCCGGCTAGGTGTGGGTGACCGGCTTCTCCGGGAGGCATATCTGCTGTAACTATTTCTTGTTGGACTTCGTGACGGGCTTCGGGAGGTTGATTTAGGTGAATTTCTGGTATCATTCTCCAAATCTCGATTCATAGAATGAGCCCTGCTTCGACAGGTTCTTTAAAGGTATCCGATTCTTCCGCAATTGAAGCATCTTCTGTTCTCATTTTGGCTATTTCTCAGGCTATTTTGCAGGATATTTAAAATTTGTGAAAGGGTAGGTTGAAGGGCAGTATTAGTAGTGGCCTCTTCATTTTCTTGGAATCTAATTTCTCTCAATTTTGCACGAGAAGATCTAGATATAGTTTTTGCTGCTTCGTATTCCTGGGCTGCAATTAGCGTCTCATTCAACGTCATGAAGTGTTGTAGCCGAAGAGCCTGCTGCATTTCCACGTCCTGTAGTCCATCAATGAATGCTTGTATGCCGATTAGTTCTAAGAAATCTTTAGGTGCCGGTGGATAGGCCAGATGCAGCAATCTTTTAATATCGGCTTTGAATTCTTGTAGACTCTCACTGTGTTTCTGACTACGAACTTTTAGCTGGCTTTGGAAAACCTGTTTCAAATGCTGCTGGCCATATCTTGTCTCCAAAGCTTGGACGAGAGATGAGTAACTGGGTTCTCCTTGGGGAAGTAACTGTAAAATAGTTGCAGCCTGACCTCGCAATGACACTATTAATGAAGCCGACATCTCTTTCTCGGTCCAGCCATTGGCTCTAGCTGCAGCTTCAAATTGGAGTCGATATGTTTCCCATTTTATCTGACCGTCAAAGGTGGGTAGCTTAAGGGTCTGCTAGTATAGTTTTGTGAAACTGGGATTCGAATGTGGCTTGGTTCGGTTATGGATGAAGACGAGGTAGTGTTTTCAGCTTCAACGTTGCTTACTGGAGCTTGGCTACGAATTATCCTTTCTAACTCAACTATTTCAGTTCTAATTTGCCTTTCCAAGTCTGCTCTAGCCTTTTCTTGTTGTTGCTCTAAGTTAGCTTTTAGATTCTCTTTTTGTTGCTCTAACTTAGTTTTAGATTATTTTGTTGTTGTTCCAAATTAGCTTTTAAATTCTCTTGTTGCTCTTCTAAATTAGTTTGTAAATTTTCCAAATTAGTTTTTAAGTTCTCTTGTTGTACCTCTTGCTTGAAATTTTCCTGAATTTGTATTAAACCATTTATAATTTCTACCTCTGCTTTCCTACGCCTTTCCTCGTTCTCTTTTTCCTCTTCCTTCCTACGCCTTTCCTTTTCCACCTCTTCCTTCCTTCCTTCCTTCCTTCCTTCCTTCCTTCTTTCCTTCCTTCCTTCCTTCCTTCCTTCCTTCCTTCCTTCCTTCCTTCCTTCCTTCCTTCCTTCCTTCCTTCCTTCCTTCCTTCCTTCCTTCCTTCCTTCCTTCCTTCCTTCCTTCCTTCCTTCCTTCCTTCCTTCCTTCCTTCCTTCCTTCCTTCCTTCCTTCCTTCCCTTCCTTCCCTTCCTTCCCTTCCTTCCCTTCCCTTCCTTCCCTTACTTCCTTCCTTTCCTTACTTCCTTCCTTCCTTTCCTTCCTTCCTTCCTTCCTTCCTTCCTTCCTTCCTTCCTTCCTTCCTTCCTTCCTTCCTTCCTTCCTTCCTTCCTTCCTTCCTTCCTTCCTTCCTTCCTTCCTTCCTTCCTTCCTTCCTTCCTTCCTTCCTTCCTTCCTTCCTTCCTTCCTTCCTTCCTTCCTTCCTTCGTCTTTCCTTTTCCTCTTCTCGCCGTTCCTTTTCCTCTTCTCGCCGTTCCTTTTCCTCTTCTCGCCATTCCTTTTCCTCCTCTTCTTTTTTCCTACGCCGTTCTTTTTCCTCCTCTTCTTCCTTCCTACGCCCTTTCTTTTCCTCTTCTCGCCTTACTCTCTCCTCTTCCATCTTCAAAAACCATGCTGGTGGGCCTGACGTATCCATGCCTGCTTCGTACTCAGTGGATCTAGTATTTACCATGAACTTCTACTTTGTATCCCACCGCTGTCACCAATGTTACACTGGTTTTTGGTATCACAATTTATTTCAATTCCACTTTTACAACAACTATTCAACTGATAACATTAACATGTAACGTCTATCATAAAACTCAAAAACTGACGTCAGGATCATCGGCTTATATAGCCTTCTCGAAATGCCTAGAATGTTCTTGACAAATAATGACGTTTCCCGACATTTTTGGACTATTCTTCTTTTACTCGTACTTTTACTTATGATGATCGTAGCACCCTATAGTATGATGGGTGACATTGCACTTCTTTTCGTATTTGTACGTTTCCTAAAACGGCCGCAGGCTACTGCAGGGTGTAGTGTAACAGTATTGTTATTTCTTAAACGATAACAGATAGAAAGTTGGTTAAATTGGACAAAAGTTGCGCAGTTTTGTGCTCATTAAAATGATGCCAAGAAACCTTTGGTATCTACAGGGAGGTTCAAAATATCGGATAAAAATAAAAATTGTGATTTCTTTAAATTCATTAATTTTGTGTCCGATATTTTAAATCTCCCTGTAGATATCAAAGGTTTCTAGGCACTATTTTAATGAGCACAAAATTGCTCTACTTCTGTCAAATGTAACCAATTTTTAATGTGTTACCGTTTAATAAATATTTAGCACTGTAAACAAATTGTTTCAAGTTAATTGACACTTAATGCAAAGCCACACGATGTCTTGAAAAAATGTTTACATATGTCACTAAAGTGAAGAAATATTTAACTTCTGCTTGGATTATTATTAGTTTTGAAACAAGCAAAAACTTTTATGAAGAATAACATTTTTTCAAAAAAGTGAAAATAAAAAAGTATTTTCTCTCTTTCAGTCCTTCCGGCTATTATATTATAATTTAAATAATAAAGTTAACCTAAAATTAAATTTACTAAATTTTGAAATATGCACTAAATATTTATAAATAAATTTAAAAACGTCATACTTTATAATCGATTATTTGTAATTTCGTAGTTGTTCCTACCAGCCAGCGATATACGACTACATATGCATACAATTGAAATTGAAAATCCGTGTGGGTACTAGAATTAATGCCTGACAATTAATAGTGCAAATCTTACTTCAGATATCCCAATAAATACTAAAAATTAGCAATTTTTAACATTTTCCTACATCCCCGTATTTTAAAAATTAATAGAAAACTGTAGACTTGATTTTCTTCCATAATGAAGTACAAACATAACCGCTGCTAGCATACAACCTCAGTATACTGGGATACTACTTGTTTGTTTATAGATTTTTAAACTTATGTTACGAAAAATGTATTGAAATTTTTTTTTAATATTTTTTTTAATATCGACGTCCTTGCGCTAATCCAATACATACGATTTTTATTGTTTCAGATAGAGTGGACATTAAGGACTTTAGCGTTAATGTCGAGTATGATAATGATAATAGCATTCTTATTTAAACCGATAAAAAAAGGTGATAACCAAATAAAAAAGCAAATATCTTGCGGTGACGTTTTCAACATTTCTCTAGTCAAAAACTTCAAATATCTTGTATGGGTCAGCGTAATAGCATTCTCATTGTTTGGATATTTTGTTCCTTACGTGTTAATGTTGAAATTTGTCGAAACAAACTTTGATGAAGGATCTGATACCAGGTTGCCTATAATGTGCATAGGATTAGCTTCAGGTAACTAATGAATTACTCTTACATGTGATGTGCAATACATATATCTGTGGGTAAGATCAAGAAGGGTTAATGCCAAATTATAGTTCCTTGGTGATAAAAATCACAGTTGATAATTTTTTACATTGGCCTACTTGAACTAACCTACAGATAATATATATTCGGCGAAAATTTCTTTGAACTTTAGAGTCACTTTTTATAAGTTTTTTGATACAAGGAAGATTGGATTTATAAATCTCAAACATTTTTTCATGTATTTTCTACAATTACTTCAAATATTCTTGAACAAAAATATCGATATTTACAAGGAAACCCAACTGAACTCTGTTTCTTATCAACGTGATTAATTAATTACCTATTTATACAAAATGTAAATACCTTTTTTGATTGAGATGAGTCAGGCGTTACTATCTCCTCCATGGGACCCGGAAAATTTTTCGCACGCCATTATCCGCCAGCAATTAACCGCTAGCAGTTTACCGCTACAGCAATTGATCGCCTAAGTAATACAATTGATCGCTAGTATATTTATCCCCAGGCAATTAATATAATAATTTATATATAATTATAGGTCTTAGGACTTTCTGAAGGTGTCGTTTAAAAATTAATAAGAGCTAAAAATGTCCCCAACCCTGTATACAGTTTCAGAGAAAACTTCTCTAAAGTTCAAAGATATTCGCCGGAGTAAAATTATAATTTTAATTAATTAATTTCTAATCAGTTAAAATATCTTTCAGGGATTGGAAGGCTAATATTTGGTACCATAGCCGATTTACCAAAGATTAATATAATATATGTTCAGCAGATAAGTTTTTTCAGTATTGGAGTGATGACGATGTTATTGCCGTTCACAGCTGGTCACTACGCATGGTTAGTAGCTATAACTTTAGCTATGGGCGTATTTGATGGGTGTTTTATTTCTCTTTTAGGTGAGTACTGTAAAAATACTGTTTTTCTTTTAAATTTGATTCTATCTTTAATATAGATAGAGAATTTCTTAATTTCAAGAATAAATCAATTTACTGTTTATTCCTATTTTAGGTCCTATAGCTTTTGATCTCTGTGGCAGAGAAGGCGCAACCCAAGCGATAGGTTTCCTTCTAGGAGTGTGTGCAATACCATTAACAATCGGCCCGTATGTAGCAGGTGTCATTTTGGACGCTACAAAAAGTTATACCATTCCCTTCATATTGGCCGGGATCCCTCCCGTCATAGGATCTTTCGGACTGTTCATAATGAAGTGTGCCAGAAACAAATCGACAAACAATAATGTTAACGGAACTTTAGACGGGATCAAAGAATCTCTAACTAGCGCAAACAATAAAAAAGGTACGCTCTTAAAAGGGTCTAAAAAATCTGTAGTACGTAGTTGCTCGAGTAGTAGTAGCGATTTAAAACAAACGAGAATGTATGATTACTCTTCTCTGTGATATTATGGTTGATAATGTTTTTGATATATTATGAAAGTCGTAGATGTTTTGTAAGGAATATAACGAGTCTTCAACAATACCCATATCCCACGCAGGGTTCGGAGGATATATATCATGATATTTATACCTTGATATATATCCGATATATTCGATAATTTTAGTTATTAAATTAAAAATGTTTTCTACCATTCTGAACATCTGAAAATGTCTCAATACGTCCCTGTATAAAAGTATAATAACTAGCAATTTATATGTGTTTGTGTTAAAATATTAATGTTAACAAAATAATGTTAAAATCGGTTTATTTTATTAATTATTTTTGTTTTTTCATCTTAACTTGAGTTAGAATAAACGGTTTTGTTGTTTAGAATATAGGTTTTTGTTAGTATGTTTGTGTTAAAATTTAAAATATAGTTTGTGCAAGAAACAGTACTGTTTTTTAAATTTTAAAAATGATATATATATCGGATATATATCCGATATATATCAGATATATATCATGTGATATGATATTTATATAAATATCATGATATTTTCGAACCCTGATCCCACGTGATCTAGTAAAACAAGAAATTTAGTCACGTGGGGTGTGGCTATTGTTTAGGACTGTAACAATGTAATTTAAAAAGAGTCACAATACAAATCTATAGCTATTTTAAATATATGGTGTGCCGAGATATCGAGAATATTTAATGGTAAATCCAGTACAATGCATGCCCAAAGTCACTTTTAAAATAACTGAGATACATGGATATATTCCCATAGATTAGAAAAGTGATATAGCTGAATAATCTTTGACTGTGTGATCTTGTCAGTACTGTATATCATTTATTGGGGTATTTCTATAGTTTAGCAATCCAAATTATCCAAGCTGCATATTCTTAATATTAGGTTTGTTCCGACAGAGCGAAAATCGTGTTAAACCGTCGCGACCTTGCACAGTAGATTACAATAAACAATGATTGTTTAATGAATGAGCCTTGCAAAGCTGGACAGTACTCCAGTAAATTGTACTCGGGTACTCAAAGTACTCAGTAATTGATACTCGTAAGTACTCTCATCTTGATGGGACTAATACTAAAAAAATGTCGAGAACTTTATATTTTACAGTACTCAGTACTTTTAATTCATACAGCTAACAAGTACTAATACAGACGCGCGCACATATGTTATGATTCCACCTTGGGAAAGTTAAACTATTTAAATATCCTGGAGCTTTTATGGTCATAACTCCTTTGGCTTGCCACAAAAATTTCAAAAAAATAATTCTAATCGATAAATGTTGAATTTGAAAAAATCTCAATATTCTTTCTTCCTGTTCTTCTGATTTCTGCTTTTACTCCTCCTTCTGACGAACTATCCTTTCTGCTAAGTTCTCCTTCCTATTCCATTCATACTTATCTTTAACTTAAATAAAACTTTCTTTATCTTTCTTTTTTTAGTCTTTCAACTTTAATATCTATCTATCTTAACTTCAACATAATATTTTCTGATTTTTTTTTTAATTTTCCCAAAATATTTTCTTTTCTTTTGATCCACAAGCTGTCGCATTTTATAATTCTGGACGACAAGTTGATCTCAAAGTGATTTCGTTGATAATTTTCGACCTTGATTTTCGGTGATGATTTCGGAAATTTCGACAAAAGTTGTAGTGATTTCGAGAAAACTTAACAGTATTTCGGGAGTCGTTCACCTCTCGTGGATTACCTATCTAATTAGGGGGCATCCATTAATTAGGTGAGCTGTTCAAGGGAGGAAGTAGATCAAGCTAAATTTTTCCAACCCTCACTTGGGGTAGAAGGGAGGTCTTTGTAAATCTGGCGTACCGTAAACCGGGGCTACTTGATAAACATTTTCATCTTTGAAAGACTATACCCAACACATGAAATGTTTTCGAATGGAACTATATTTTTTTTAGGTTACTTTAGTTTGAGCGGAATCGGATGGTATATATGATGGAGGGTGAGGTTTTCCGGTATTTCCCCCACCTGTAAGTCAAATGGCACCATAATCATCTTTAAGTCGCTCCGGGGCGCCACGGCAAATAATAATAATAATAATAATAATAATAATAGCCGTCCCCTTTCCCCGCATAAGCTCAGCTTTTGGGGTTAAAATTCACTCGTAAGGGGGTGAATTAGGGAGAGTATTATTATTATTATATAGATTAATAAATTAACCTCCCCTGAGGGGTTAAAAAAATTTAATAGGGTTATTTTTAAGACGCAACACGGGCGAGGCGGCTTGAAAATTGCTTGTTTTTCAAGTTGTGTTCAAGTAAAACGTATAGCAGAGGCGTCTTGAAAGTAAAGAAAAAGTTAAAATTAGGTATATGCGATAACCACATAGTAAGGATTAAGGAATAAAACGTGTTGGTTTTAAAATAACACAAAATTTATTAAATAACCTAAACAGTCTCATACAAAACATAAAAAGGAACAAAAATGCCATGGTTAATAACAAAAATAAACACATTCTTTGAAAAATACAGATAAATAAATATTTATATAACTACCCCTACATATTCTTAAACTGTAGCTGCCCCCCCCGTCTTAAAACTTTCGGTTCTGTTTGCCTCTTGATTATTTCTGACACATTCACGATTCCTTTATCATCTGCTGAGGGAAAAACATATGCATCTTTTACTTTACTCTCCCTAAGAAAATGGCAAAAAATGAGCTTTGATTTTTACGGTTTAATACGTTCGCCAGATATTTTCTAGTGGTTCCATTTTCTGTTGCCATTTGAACAAAAATAAAGTAACCAGCAGTCAAATCATGAGTAAAGTTAGCGTCTATAGAAACATTTAACGAATTTTTGTCATTTTCGTTTGTATTTTCCAAATCGGAGAATAATTCTAGATCTACGTCACTATCAGTATCAATAGTCATCTATTCCATTTCTTTATCGCTATCTGAAGAAGAAGAATAATCGCGATGAACAATCAACTTCCTTCGTTTTTTAGAATTTTTAACTTTCATAGTTGTTGAAATATTTGAAGTTACACTTATTGGAGAAAAATCTTTCCGTGAGATGCTGTTTCCAGCTTCTATGTTCATTTTTTTTCTGCCTACATATGAACCAGGAGTTTTAAAGCGAGATTTTTTCAAACATTATTGTTAGGGATTTGGTCATACCGTCTACTTATTGACGTCCGTCCGCTTCTGTCTGGGGCGGTTTTTTTTTTTAATTTTTGTTCTATCAATAGGTTGTATGCCTGTAGCTGAAAATCCAGACTTTATATTGGTTTCATTATTTGTACCAACTTTATTTAATGCCTGTTTCCAAGAGCCTTGGAGAGACATATTTTCTAACAACCCCCGCATTATGCTTTTTCCGCTGTCTTAAAATTTGTCTCCATGTGTTTTTGATGGGACGAAATACACTGGCATCTAACGGTTGTGTCATATGTGTGCTGTTGGGTGGGAGTAGGATGAAACGGATATAATTCTCTTGACATTTCGGACCTTGTGGTAAACTTCTGAAGTAGGGAAGAATTATATTTATGAACCACTCTTCAAAAATATTAGCGTCAAACCAGCCAGACTTGCTGCGATTATATCTAGCATTTGCTGGTCCATTTTCAGTCCAAGTGGACCACAAATGATCCGCCTTGTAAACTATATAAACTGGAAGTAATTGTCCTGCCACTGAACATGCAAACATCACAGATGTGGCTGCTTTCGAGGTATCCATTTTTTCAGCCCTTTTACAATGTTTTTCGAACGATTACTCTAATTTGCCCAGGATCGTCAATAAAGTTGGTTTCATCATAGTTCACGATGGCTTCCGGGGGTACACCTGTTAAAACCTTTGAAAGATTGTCGAAAAATTTGTTGATAGTGTCTTAATTAACTTTAGCCCTGCTTTGTTTTATTGATTAAGATAATTTTGCTGACAGAGTTTTTTTGTCTTTTCAAGAATTTTTCCATCCAAGTTTCGCCTGGTCTATTTTCTTTGAACTTGTTTATTATTCTACCACTTCTTTTGAGATAGTTTTGCACTAAATCTTTAATTTCTTCACTATCATAAGCTAATCCCCACTCAGCTGCAGTGGAAATACATTTAACCAGAGTTTCTTCTTCATTATTTGTAAGGGCCGTCTGACTACCAGCTGGTTTAATATGGATGCCTTTTATTTTTAACCGACTTCAAAAAAGAAGGAGGTTCTCAATTCGTCGCAATATTTTTTTTTATGTATGTTCAGTGATAATTCTTTAACACGGTGTCCGATTTCAATGATTCTTTTTTGTTAGAAAAGGGGTACTTCAGGGGTGGTCCCATATAGATTTGGTCAAAATCTAATAATTGGTTCCATTAGAAAATCCTCAAACCCTTTATTTTTTATGTATGTTTAGCGATTATGCTTTACCACCTTGTCCGATTTATATCACGGTGCTTGGGAACCAACTTTAAATGAAAAGTTTGAGTTAAATGAGATCTCAAATCGGCTGATTTTAGAGAAAAAAGTCATTGATGCTTTTTTGTAGAGCGGACATTTTCCCATTGAAATTTACTTTTGGCAAGCTGAGAAAATGTGAAATGCGCAAGTTACAAGCAAAAAAGTAAAAAAAAAAGGTCACTTTTTCATTAAAAATCGAGTTTTCTCAAAAACGGCTGCTGGAACCGATTTTAAAAAATATATTGCGCCAATCTATAGCCCTTCAGAAATACTTTGACCAAAAAAAAGTCTAGTAAATAAACTTTTCATTTAAAGTTGGTTCCCAAGCACCGTGTCTCATTTAACTCAAAGTCGGCTGATCTTAGAGAAAAAGTCATTGATGCTTTTTTGTAGAGCGGACATTTTCCCATTGAAATTTACTTTTGGCAAGCCGAGAAAATGTGAAATGTGCAAGTTACAAGCAAAAATGTAAAAAAAAAGGTCACTTTTTCATGAAA